CAGTCCGGTCTTCGGGTCCTTCCACTTGTCAAAATTGTTTTGCATAAGAGAAGATGTACTTTCCATATTTAAAATGGTATATGTATAACACTATAAGTAATTAAGTAGGAATGTAGGATAATAAGAGAAGATAAAGATGGAGAAGAGTTTGAGAAGAATTGGAGAAAAAGTGTAGAAAAATGTTAGAAAATAGATGTATTTATAGGTGTTTTTGAACCCCACTCCCCACACCACCACCCCCGGGACCCCCCTGCCCCCCACCCATAGCCCCAACGGCTATATAGCCGTTTGGGAGCTTTGAATTTTTTTTTTTTTTTTTTTTAAGTTATACACATATTGTAAAATAAATTAATTAATTTAATGAATTAAGTAAAACTAAAACAAATGTTACAAAATAGGTGTATAAGTATTTAAACAAATTACATATTCTAAATGTATTTTTAATTTAAAAACCGGCTTTATATTTTAGAAAAATAATTTTAAGTCGTTAGATTGTAACCAATTAATTAATTTGAGAAGTGCTACATATGAAAAAGTGAACACATATTTATTTGAAATATGAAGTACAAGTTTACAAATTAATTTGAACTACAACTACAAATTTACAATTTTGAAATATGAAGTACAAGTTTACAATTTTGAAATATGAAGTACAAGTATAAATAAATTTGACAAGTGCTATAAAATACATTTTGTACTAAATTCTAAAATACTAATCAATCGGAATCTCCGGCATAGGTAGAGCCACCATCGGTTGTTGAGTCATCCATAAAATCTTGGGAGGGGGTGATGCTCAATTCTTGAGTTCTACGTGCGGCCTTCAACCAATCGTGGTAGCATATAAGCGTCTCAAGAGACTCCGCGCTCAATCTCGATCTAGATGCCGTTAGGACGTTGCCGGCCGAACTAAATTCTTGTTCCACAGCAACTGTTGAAACCGGCATTGATAGTACTTGCTTAGCCATCCGTGCTAAAATCGGGAACGTTCTTTCTTTTGACTTCCACCAGTCTAGAACGTCGAAGTCATCATTTTCTTCAAAATCAACTTCATATGTTAAATACAAAGTAATCTCATTCAATGCGCTTTGTTCAGTGACGTGAGTTGTTTTAGTTTTTTTCATAAGATTGCCAAATGCAGATTTAAAAATCGATTTTCCTTTAGATGAAGATGTTCGTGGCGGGGGAGGGGGAGCGTTGCCATATTGTGAACGAAACTCATTAAATAAGGCATAAAATAAAGTACTAACCTCGTTGTATTCCGTTTTCGGATCTATGGGGTTATCCTCACACATTGGAAATTCACCGAAAAACGCAAGATAATAGAAGTTGAAACAACTTTCCAAATTAGCAAGTCTATAACGAGGATCGAGAATAAATGCAATACCATAAATATGGGGAATATGCGCATAATATTTTAAAAACTTTTCCTTCATATAATCACAAAAATAATGAACGAAAACGGCATTTTGAAATTCTTTAAAAGCATCGGCGAGATTAACAGCTTGTGGAATAAATTGGTTTGCGGTAGGTTTATAAACATGACTAAAAGTTTCAGTAGCATTAAAAAAATATATCAAAACATTACAAATTTTTTCGCAAGTGTCGATCTCAGCCGCGTTTATAATATAGTTATCATGTTCTTTTAAAAAAGCAGGAAAATGTTCTTTATATCTAAGAACAACTTTAAGTAATTTATAAGTACTATTCCAACGAATACTCAAATCTTTAGGAAAAGCAACATATCTCACACCTCTTTCAGTCAAATAACTTTGTCATTTTAATCTAAGTTGACCATTACCCCAAATACGTCTAACCCCCCCCCCCCCCCCCCCCCCCCCTTTATTACCTCCATGGAATCTCCTAACGCTTTTAAACCGTCTTGCACACATAAATTTATAACATGACATGCACACCGTTGATGAAAAAATCTACCCATCAAAGAATTGGCACCACACAACTCACGCAATCTAGGTATAGCAGCAGTATTATTAGTAGCATTATCGAAACCAATAGCAAACACCTTATCAATCAAATTATACTCAATTAAAATACGCTCAATCAAAATATAAATATGTTCAGCGGTGTGACGATCATTAAATTCACGAAAAGCAAGAACACGTTTATGCATATTTCAATCCTCATCAATATAATGTGCAGTCAGACCCAAATAATATAAATGATGAAAATCATCCTCCCATATGTCAGAACAAATAGTAACACGCCCATCAAAGTTTGCAAAAAAATTTTGTAACCTTTCCTTTTCCGCATTATAAAGCCTTATTATTTCTTTCTTAACAGTTTTGCGACTATAATTTCTAAATTGAGGATTTAAACTACCTTGTGCATAATCTCTTAAAGCAAGACTTTCAGAAAACAAATAAGGCAAATTTTCTTCACAAATTAAGTTAGCCATACCAGTCAAATTTTGTGCATCATTGTAGGAGAAATTACCAAAAGGTTGAGAATTCGCAAACCTCGATATTTGAGTTTGCTTCCCCGTTCCGCCGCCTAATTTTGCATACTCCACGGGGTGCTTTGCCTTAAGATGCCTTGCGGCGGATCCGTATCCGCCGGAGGTTCCCAAACTATAATTGTTGTTGCACCACTTGCAAGTTGCGTGCCAATAGCCGGTTTGTGGGTCCTTCCATTTATCAAAATTATTTTTCATTAGTTCAGACTTACTTTTTTTATTACCGGTGGCGGTTTGGGATGAGGCAGGCGCGTCGGCGTCGTGGCTGCCGGCACCCTCCTCCTCGGCCGTCTCCGGTTCCAATTCCTCCGCATCTTCATCCTCAAGCTCCTCTTCGTCAATGGTCGTCGGCATTTGTTGTTGTTGTAGAAAGCGGTTATTATGTCGGGCCAATTCTTGTTGGAGTTGTTCTTCGGACATCGCATCTCCATCTCGCCTTTGGTAACCCGTTTCAAAATCATCTCGACTTTGAGATGAAGACCCGGCAAGTTCTTTACCTTTGCGGGATTTCTTCCTCCCAATCTCGTTTCTTCGATTGCGTTGGAGGTTACCCAAATCAACCGAATATCTACCACCTTCCATCTAAAAAATGTAACAAATATTAATTCACAACAAATATAATAATGGATACAAAACTAATGCAACTAATTAAAACTATTTTAATTAATACTTCAAACTAATTTTTTGCAAAGTAGAATTAATGTGTGTCTCTACAATTAAAATTATAGCAACTTTTGAAGTAAATAACTAGTACAAGTAAAAATGTAACAACAATGCTAATTAAGTAGTTAACTAGTATAGTGACAAATGTAACAAACTAACAACTAGTTAAATAAAATGTGAAGTATTTTAATTAGTATAATGAAAAATGTAACAAGAATGGTATTGAAGTATTGAACTAATTAACTAGTATAATGAAAAATGTAACAAGAATGGTATTGAACTAATTAACTAGTATAATGAAAAATGTAACAAGAATGCTAATTAAGTAATTAACTAGTATAATGAAAAATGTTACAATAATGGTAATGAACTAATTAACTAGTATAATGAAAAATGTAACAAGAATGCTAATTAACTAATTAACTAGTATAATACTAGTTATAGTAAGTAATATATAATATAATGTTTATATTATATAATATATAAGTATACTATACTATACGATGAGTAATACACTTATATTTTATACTTTAATATATAAATATATATTAAGTAGATGTAGAATGTATGTATTAAGTGGATATAATAATTGTATAAGAATTAAATATTAGAGTATAATGGAGAATTGGAGATTGGAAAATAAGTATATATAAAATATAAGTAGAGAAGTAGATATTATTATGTATTAAGTATATAATAATAGTTTATAAAGTATATTTAATACTTTATTATATAAAGTATATATTAAGTAGATATAGTATGTATGTATGTATTAAGAGATATAAGTAGAAATTAAGTAGATAAGAAATATAAGCAATATAGTATATGTAGATAATAATATATATAAGTAGATAATTAATATATAAGTAGATATAATAATTGTATAAGTATTAAATAGTAAAATAAAATATAAAGGAGAATAAGAGAATTAGAGAAGATGAATATGGAGAATTGGAGAATGGAGATGAGTAGAGAGTAGGATTTAGAAGAGTTGGAGAAGAGGTGTGAAAAAATGTTTAAAATTAGGAGTATTTATAGGTTTTTTTTTTAACCCCCACCCCCCACCCCAACCCCCCACCCCACCCCCCACCCAAACCCCCCTGACCCCCCCTGGTACACCCAACGGCTATATAGCCGTTTGGGGTAGCCGTTTGAGCCAAAAGAATCCAAAAAAAAAAAAAAAAAAATTTAAAATAGTGGACCGTTATGCCCGGGCCCGGGCCCGACCCGGCCGGGCCGGGCCTCCAAAACCAGGACCCGAGCCCGGTCCCGCTAACCCGACCGGGTCTCTGCCCGAACCGGACCCGGACCCGAGAACCGGGCCAGTTCCGGGCCCGCACAGTGACGGGCCGGGCCGGTCCCCGGGCCGGGCGGCCCGAACCGGGTCCACGCCTACCGGTTCGGGCCGCCCGGCCCGGGATCGGCCCGGCCCGCCACTGTGCGAGCCCGGAACCGGCCCGGTTCTCGGGTCCGGGTCGGGCCTAGGCCCGGTGGGGTGGCCGGGTCCGGGCTCGGGCCTTGAATTTGGCGAACCGGCCTGGCCGGGTCGGGCCCGGGCCGAATTGATTTTTTTTTTAATTTTTTTTTCTTTTTTTGGGGTTAGCCAAGTTGGGCTTGATGGTTAGGAGGGGTTTGGGGGTTTGGGGGGGTGTGGGGGTGAGTGGGGGGGTTAGGAAAGCAAAAAAAAAAAAAAAAATTATAACCGAACCGGAGGCCCGGCCCGGCCCGGACCGGACCCGGTGGCTACCCGGGCCGGTCCCGGGCCTTCCTTCCCAAAAAAAAAGCCCGGCCGGGCCCGGCCCGGAACCGGAACCGGCCCGGCCCGGGTCCATGCCTAATTATGCATTTAAACTCTAAAGTTTGAGATCTTTTATATCCTAGTCATAACAAGAATTTTTACATTGGTTTTGCCACACGATTACACGAAGCCTCTTGGATGTTGGAGCACACAAACTCTGAAACCCAGCCAGGCTTGAAGTCTTCAAAAATATTGAGTACATAAAAATACATCTCAAAAACTAGAAATAGTATAAATCAATTCCCTCAAAAGTTGATAATCGAGTTGAGCAAATGCAATTTAAATTGCTACAAATCCTGATTACTTCCCATGAAAAAAAAAAGAGAAGAAATATTACAACAATGCATCCCTCAACTCGTGCCTCAACAAGCTCCCATGTGAATCGATGTAACTATACCCAATCCCCCGGACAACAAACATAAGCTTAAAAATAAATAAACACGGCAAGATGCTCTAGCTACTACTTACTGATGCAGGAAAAAAAACAAAAAAAAATTGTACATTACATTGTGGACCTACAACTATGACGATACATTGACTGCTGTCTTGATTTCAAGTGGTCTCAAAGCTCCTTGAATAATCTCCTGAACAGTTCGATTTCGGCGGCAAACCTCAGAAATTTCTTCAATTGGAACTACCAAATTGTTTACATTTGCTCCGGATGCCGCCTCTGATAGAACTTCTAGGAACTTAGCCTTTTCCAACTCAGTAACAGCTGCCGATGGGATTAAAGAAACACAGTCCTTTGTCCATTCAAGAGCTTTTGTCCCATATGCACGACTCAAGGAAAATAATGCATAAGATACCTACATGCCAAAAAAGGCTCGGAGTTAAGTGGGCTATAATTACCAGATTAGCACAAACATATAAAAAAGACAAACCAGGCAGTTGCATGTTGTGTTGTACCGTTTCTATCCGTGAAATAGGAAGTGCTCCGGTTAGACAAGCAACCAAGGCCCTGGCAATACTAGGCCCCCGGGGAATAATTACATCGTCTCTAATACTTACAAAGTTCTCTCCTTGATAAGAGTTTGAAAAATCAAATGTATCGGACAGGAAATGCAATATTGAATTGGATGCCTCTCTGCAAGGTAACATTAGAAGATATAAACATTTTGATATTAATATCATGTTAAGTAAAACAATCTACCTTCAACACTCTATGGTCAAATTGTAAACGTCAAAGAAGATACTGCTCTTTAAATATTAGATACACTAAGAGTGATTATGATACCAGGCAGGACCAAAGGTTAGCAGAAATTAGGACAACGAGCCCAATTGGAACATTACAATAACAATAACCATCACAATGGGCATCCTAGAGAGAGAATGGACATGGTTTAAAATGTCGAAGGTTTTTAGACTCCCACATTGAACAAGTAAAACGAAAAATGTTGGACTTATTAGATCTTAGATTAAACTAGTTCATACTTCCTCTGTCCAGATTAATTTGCAATTGGCGGTTTTTAAGGTTGGCTGACAATAACGTTGAATCTTTCCTTTGAATACTTAAATCATCTACGTTAATTAAAATTTACATAATCACAAACTATACTAAAAGTTCAATAGAATCACAAAGAGAAAATTAGAGTATGATAAAGAATTGATACACAAAATAGGAGATCGATAATAAACCATGCTGACCAATAAAAGTAAAAGTGCAAATCATTTTGGAGCGGATGATGTAGATTGGATTCAAACTTTTAGTACTCCCTTCGTCTAATAATGTAAGATACGTGTGGTTTTAGCACGCGATTTAAGAAAAATAAGGGATAAAATGACTGTCTAACTACTCTAACCTCCAAAAAGTAAGAAAAAATAAGATAAGTCCACAAAAAGTAAAAAGTGAAAGGATAGATGAAGGGATAATATGGGAAATTAAGAAGTTACTGGAGTTCAATTTAGGAAAGTGTTCTTATTTTTTGGAACGGGGGTAGTATAATGTTTTAGTTTTTTTTTATTTGCGGTATTTTTTTGTTCTTCATAATACTCCAATTTCATATGTCGATTCATGTTAGCTGACCTCAAACTATTTTGGGACTATGGCTTGGATGTTGTTGTGTTGTCTAATGGCATGAGTGATCCCGAACTCAATCCTGGATTTATATCAAATAATAGTATATCCCCTCCTCCTTCCCTTATATAGGGTTTTCAAATTCACATAGTTTCAAATTGAAAACATTGAATGCTGGTAGTTTCAATTTTAGTGCTTCCTACTGAAATTTCATTAAACGATTGACCTTTAAAAACTTATTCTTCAATCAAGAAATGTTTTAAGAGAGAAGGGAAAGCACCTGTGCTGTACTGTGACACCAACCATAGCACAATCCACTAATGATGGAAATACAGGGGATGGGAACAAAAGGTGAGGACAATATCGTATACACCTTGATGCCAACAAAAAACAATCATCTGCTATATCCGGTCTAGAAGTGAACTCCTAAAAAGAGGGTATCACTCGTCAAATTATCAAATATTTGTATAGCATGAGAAGAGACAGAGATCATGCATCAGAAGCCATACCTCGATTTTCGTAAGGAGACATGTCGTATGACTGAAAAGAGACTCGATAAGATTTTTTAGGTAGCCAGCGCATGATTGATCTGAACCAAATATCTGGAGCAAATTTTGCAATGGTTACACCTACAGATAGCTAAGGAAATTGGACTTTCTAAATGTCTGAGAAGACAACAGTATTACCTTAATAACCTCACTAGAGAGATAAAGGAAACAAGGTTGATGATGCTGTCTGTATAACACCTGTATTTCCTCAAGCATAGCTCCAATAGTGACTACCATGAGCTGCTTAGACGTCCGCACCTAAATAACATATAAGAGTTTAATGTAACACCTAACAAACAAACAAGTGACATCTTTGAAAGTGTAACCAAAATAACACTCTGACTTTTAAATGCTGAGAATAAAATCACAGAATTCTAAATGAATCAAACACTACTCAAAATAAATCAAGTAACCATTTACTTAGATTGTTAAGAAAATATTTACGAGAATCCTCAATGTTTCCTAAATAAATGCTGAAAATTTAGCATTCACCATTTCCTACACACTCATACTTCACATGGCTTGTCACTCATCAGTTTGTATCATAAAGAAACTTCAGTTAGTTTGCTTTACAAGGATTCAATATCTCATCTATTTCATTGTAAATCAACAAATTTTATAGAAAATTTCACTCTCCATACTTTAAAGGAACCATGTATCAAACACTCTTTATCCAGAAAGGAGTCACGTTTGATTGAATGAACTTTATTTTCCATGCACTTTGCCAAAAAAGTCCCAAGTTTATACGATAAATTTAACTAAACCATAATTTCAAAAGTTGTGACATCGTAAAATATGACTATGGATGGACATAATATAAATGCATCACATCACATAAGAAATTAAGACTGGAGTGAGCCAGCGTTTTGGAGCACCAATTTCTGTCTAGGTTTTAATGACACTAAAAGTTCTTTGCTAACCTGAATTCGTCACGTTTTAATCAATCCCAATCACCTACTCTCTATCAGTACTCCAATTCATAAATCACTTATGCCAAAAGAATAGCTAGATCAGGACATGTTAGTTACAACATATGCAACACCAAACTAAATAAACTTAAAGTTCATACCAACTCTTTTGGGACTAAGGCTTGGATGTTGTTCATACCAGCTAGACTAAGAGCAAGAGCAATACAATGTGGCTAAACACCAATAATATATTTAAAAAATTACTTCTGAATATGTTAACAAACATTATGCCAACCATAACGAATGAGGTATCATGATACAAGTCATACAACAGGAAACCCCAAGAAAATGAAAAAGAAAATTCTGGTAGAGTACGTCAAGGGATATTAGACAGTCTAAATCAGCTCAAATTTTTATTCAATCCTGGAGAGGAAAATTTGAAGAGCAAACTCACAGCATGTTTACATGCCCGACAAAGAGACTCCATTGTTCGCATATCCCAAGCACGACTGTGACATAGATAAATAACAAGGAAAAGGAGTGACAAATGTAATTTGGTGATTTCCAGATGGGAAAGCACAACAATCAGATTATATAAAATAATTGTTAAAAATATCACAGATTTCATACGTATCAAAGATGGCTTTAAAAATTGGCCAGAGTTTTTGAATTGCATCTGCAACAGCTTCCGGGTGATTTACATGTCTGCAAAAGGCTAGAGTCCACAGAATGCAAACATAGTGGATTAAAGAAAAAGAAAAAAAACACTGAATCAGAAGCATACCGAAAAATATTTGCAAGTCGGTCAATGTGAACAGTGAGCTCACGAGGTGTTTTTTGTCCCAATACAGCAGGACCCTGATTGATTATCTCCTGCTAAATCATCACACAAGTTAATTGTGAAAGTTCAATTATTGTTAATAAAACAATAGAAAAGTGAGTAACCTGCAAAGGAGAAACTGCAGGTAAGCATATTGCCTCAAGTGCCTTCTTAGCATTTTCAGGAGTTAGTTCTGTAACAATCATGCTGCAACAAAATAATGAGAATGAAATAAGCATTATTATTTAACATGAAGATGCAATTCAAAAACAACAATACCTAAGAGCTTCAACCAGATGCAATGAATCTTCAGCAGAAACCTTGAAGGTGCCTTCACCATTTACTGCCCTTTCATATATTTGAAAGAGCCCATCCATGTATCGATGAAGTTCTTTCTTGCAGTCTACAGACAACTTTAAGTGTTAGCATTTAAATTGAATCGTGAAATAAATAGCCAAACTGCTGATAAATCGCAAAAATAGCAAACAGTATATTCCTACGAAAATCTGAAAAACAAAATAAATACAGTTTTACGTCAGCTCTACTAAAATCTATAGCATAGCATATACCACTGCATAAATTTCTGAATGCCAAAGCAGCAGCAGCTGCTGAATCTTCACACACATTCATGCCACTCACAAGGATATCTAAGAGTGAGGGCAAGAATGAGGATCCCTTTGCAGCAGCATCAAGCCATTTTGAATAAGCTCCGATGGTCAAGCAAACTGATAAAGGAAGTGAAAGATGAGATACACTTACATAGACCAAGAGTAAAAATCATTAGTGAAACAAAAAAAATCGAATGCTGGATATAAGATGGCATAAATATTAAAAATTAGTAATCGATGCAAATAGATGAGGATAAGAAAGCGGGTTTTGGAATAGAGAAGGCACAAAAGCAAATTACCAGTCTGAAGAAGTTGGTATTGGTGAGGGAGCTTAGGCATCAACGACATGACCTGCAAAAAAAGCATGTGCTAATTAAGGATATCCAATGCAGATTTTTTTATCGGATGATACTAGGAGAGAATTCTTTTTCATTTTTTTGTTTATTTGCATGTGGGTGGGGGGCGTGCGGGTATAGAGTTTATTCACATACCTGAGGCATGACTTCAGAATCAACAACGGAAACAAAATCCGATATTGCACGTATGCAGTACAATGCAGACTCAGCTGGACGCCAGTCAGACGCACAGCAACTTACAGCCTGCAAAAATCATCAAAAGCACTTTTCCTAATTTCAAGGGTACACAATAGATACAGAGAACTGTAAATAGCAATTACAAGATTAGGATGTGTATCCTTCCCTCATTGTATCCATTACATTACACTTCAAATATAATCAAAATATTGTGTTCACTCTCTTATGTTGGCTTCTGCTGACTGGCGGGTTACGTTTGTGCCACCCGCCAGACCCATAATATATCAAGATTCAATAGTTACTCTACACCATGAATAAGATTCCAACTCTGAAAAACAGTTTGAGGAATATGTTCTCAATTAAACCCGTAACCACGTAGAATATTAAGAGCGGTAACTTGTCAACTCATTATCTTCTCATGATATCACATCTATCCACATTTGCATTAAGATAAAACAATTGAATTTTACCTCCGCCGTGACAGAGCGTAATTAGTCACACTTGATACAATCAGGCAATATTTTGGCAAAGTTAACAACAGCAAAATTCTATAATAAAAGAGAAAGATATTTACCTCGACCAGCTTCATATAAAGAAGTTTTAGTGTAGCCTCCCCTCCCAGAACCAATGCTGCATCAATTAATGCATCTGCAACAGCTGACAACATGACATTGTCCATAAGTATATATGAATATTTAAGTGTAGCTCTGCTCATGCAAAATGAATGTAAGGTGCACTAAAAACCCCATCTATTTTTTTATATTCTTCGTCCATACTCACAACTAACACCAATTAACTCCCAGTCTTTAAACTAAAATTCTACAAATCTTCTTACAAGTACAGATTCCTCATACACTAAGCGAACATAAAAATATACCTTCAAATACTTCTTTGTATGTCAATGTGTGGCTGTGTGGTCTCTAAGAAAAATTTGGGTTGCCAATGATAGGAACCCATTAGTATAATAATACTAATAATAATAGAAGTATAATAAATAATTGTGATATTGTAGTAAAGGGTCCTGGGCTAGGTATTACCGTATTAGTTAATATTGGGCTGACCCATAAGTAAGTATAAAAAGTAGGGAGGGGGAAATAAGAAGGCAGGCAATGAAGGACTGGGCGTGGATAGGAGACTGGGCATCTCGAATTGTCTGTAGCACTCTACACTTTCCCGATATTTCATCTCTGAGAATAAAGCTTAACGATCTGTTCTTATTCAATTCCTGCTGATTTCTATATTGTTCTGAGTATCGATTACCTGTATCCTATCAGCCAACTTCACGTGATGATTTGGGGAAAAATTACAGAATCACACAATACATGGTTTTACAACGTGGTGCAACACAAAAAAAATGTCAAGAAAGTCTATACTTTTGTATATGTATACCTGATTACAGTGTAGGATTTTACAGATCTTTTAATTCATCTGTTATTCAATTTGACTAAATAGAACCATAAGTACAGAACATAAAAAAGAATATAGTTAAAGGAAAAGGTCATCATCTGTCTTCTACACACTATTCAGTGATGGCATCAAAACTACACATAAATACTCCATTTGAGGTACAGTACTGTGAAAACTGAACTGTAAAACATATATATCCATCTGTACTTAGAAGGTCTATATGAACTATGATGACCTTAAAAAGATGTGTCATAGGCACAAAAAAGGGGAGCAAGTCATTACATCCATACGGTCTTTTACCCTAAGGCACTATCATCAGACATCCCATCATCACAACCAACTGATCACTAGTCACCATCTTTAGACATCCCAGGCTTCCCAGCCACTTCACCTGCTTCCCAACAATCCTCAACGTCTCTTGAACCTCAACCCTGCTCACCACCAAATCATTCCATTCATGCGCCTATTAAATCCTCCACTCATTACCTCTTTTTTCCATAATCCTCTCTTCCAATGTTGTATGCAAAGGTGTACTTCAATGCACCAAAACTCCTCTATATCCTCTAGGAAATTTTGATACCTTTTACAACCGTTCTCAATCCCATGCCTTGTTTCTTCAAAGTCTCAATGAAATTCCCTTTCCAAATTCTGCTTCTGACGCACTAGGAAAGAAAGAAATGAGGAATTTTATGCAAGAGAAAATTAGAGCTCTTGAAAAGAATCATACTTGGGATATTGTGACTAAACCACTTGGCAGGCATGTTGTAGGTTGCAGGCGGATCTTTAGTGTCAAATACAATTTTAGTGGATCTCTTGAGCGGTACAAATCTCGTCTTGTGGATAAAGAATACACTCAGACATATGGGATTTGACTCTCAAGAGACCCCTGCACTTATAGCCAAACTCAATACCGTCTGTATCCTATTATCCTTGGCATCTCACTCTGACAGGCCTTTATTCCAATTAATGTCAAGAATGTTTCCTCCATGGTGACTTGCATGATGAGATTTACATGGACATTCCGCTAGGCTACAATAAAACTTCAATATCCACTTCTACACATGTATGTCGACTAAAAAGGCCCTCTAAGGTCTCAAGCAATCCCCTTGCGCTCGGTTTGACAGCTTCACTCTGGTTGTTCGGGCTGCTGGTTATAAACAAAGTCAGGACGGTCATACTCTTTTTTACAAGCACTCTCGCCCGAGGGGTCACTATTCTTTCAGTAAATGTGAATGACATGATTGGGACCGTTAATGATCCATCTGAGACACAACTGCTTGAAATGCAGCTCAAATCCCAATATGAGATGAAGCCTCTTGGTTCTCTCAAAATGCTTTCTTGGAATTGAAGTTGCTCGCTCATCTAAATGCATCTTTATCAGCCAACATAAGTACATTACAGAGACTGGTAGGGGTGCTTTTTGACCGGTTAGTGCACCAATGGATCACAATAATAAGTTTGGCCTTGCTATTGATGAGCCCAAGGTTGATTCAACAATGTATCAGCATCTGTATGGCAAGCTTATCTACATTTCCCATACTATACCTGAAATTGTCTATGTGGTTAGCATCCTAAGTCAGTTCTTGCATTACTCAAGGAAATCGGATCTTAAAGGGAAGTCCAAAACAAGGAACCATGTTCACAGAGGGAGGACAATGACATTCTGAACTCTCTGCTAATAAATTGGGGCAATTTTTTGATAAGTTTTATTTATTCAAAGCATTCTTCTCTTAAAGATAAAGGTAGTTGTGACTCCTAAAAAGCAGGGAAGTGGACCGTGATTTTAAACTTCTGATATGTATGATAGAAACTATTGCAAACAGTAGAAAATAGTAGTTTATTGATGAAGTTTTCAGAACTCTAGCGGGATTACAATGGCGTAGACAGAAATAAGAGAAGAAATAGATCGAAACATTTTGAGTAGTCTCAGCACTCCCATGTCCAGACTAATTTCTGCCTACCTTTCTCTCCCTCTTTTATTTCTATAATTCTATTTATAGACCCCCCCCCCTCAGACCATTACTCCCGCCTTATTTATTCTGCCCCACTCCTCTCCTGATATATACTTTATAAAAATACTTAATAGTATTATTATTAGGTATTCTGCCTCTAGCTAAGTCTTCATCGGCATGAAGCACATTTAATTATCTAACACATGATTAAAAACCAAGGCACAACCGCACAACAAAGAATTTGACGCCAGAGCCCTTGACCAATAAAATGTCATAACACACCTACAAATATAGTGTGGTATTTTAGTCCATCAGAGTTGGATATTTTTTCTTCATTTAACAAGGGATGTTGTACACATGGGATACTCATTGATAATATCCAGTTGTTAGTTGATCTGTATTTATTGTGCTGAGCAAAAAAGAAGGTATACCAGACAATACATGCAATCAATATGTTAGCAATTTGGGATTGAGATCGAGTCCAAGGTCGGCTTGGGGTGGCAGGGTGTGTGGGTAAGGGCAGAACCTGCCAGCTAGGGTCACTACTCTTCTTGCCCATGGCTGAAAGAGTGCAGAAAAGCCTGTGACTTATCTGTGAATACTTTCTATCAATCCTTCATATTATTGCTGAATAAAGAATATAAATAGGCATCATGCCTTTACATGAAAGAGTTCTAATATAACTAAAACTGTAGCCTTTAAGGCTTTAATACTTCTATTACTAATAGGAAGTAATAAATTTATAAATTAAATATAAAAATAACATCAGGGCATATTCCTCCTCTAATTAAGCTTATCGCTAGCCCATGTGTTTCCTCCTACAATATGGGATCCCATAAAATGCATCTGTAACACAATACCGTATAGTAAGAGAAAATGAGTACCATATCTAGCCTGCTTGAAATCGTTTTGGTCCTCCTTTGAAAGATCTGAATAATCTTGAGGATATTGAACGCGGAAGGTGACCTGTGAGTTGCATACAGTTAATTAACAATATTTTGCTAGTCCAGAAAAAAATGTTCCACGGAGTACAGGTTTCTTCTCTTCAACAAAGACATAAAGTTAACAGTCCCAACCACTATTATGAAAGAATGATTTCATGTCTAATTGATTGCAATAAGTCTCCTCTATGAATTAGAATAAAAAGAATGAATGTATATGAATAAGGAATCAACAGAAATAGCACATCTTCTGAACAAAGAAATGCCAAATGTAATAAATTTTTCCGCTATTGATTACAAGGACCACATTGCTACACTCGTAAATGTCAATAAGAGAAGCAAGCTCTAGATATTTTTTGCAAAATAAAAAATATCGTATACATAATGCGGTGCAGAGTAAATTTCTAGGCAGAGAACTCACCAATGAAACAAGTGACTCATATGATGGATGAAAGACCTGCAACCTGCGGTTTCTCTCAGCCTCTATTGCTGCCTCACTACCGAGCTCTTGATAGGAATCCCTATAAGCTTTAAAATGTGTGTAAAAATCATTGCATAGAATATACAGAGAGAAAATGCCGATTAGCATTTAGCAGGCAATGAATCTCACCTTTCAATCAATACCATTTGAAGATTATGCCAAAAATTGAATGTCATTGAAGCAATATCGAACTCTGGATGTGAAGCAACTTCAAGTAATGCATGCACTATAAGCATTGATTCATCAGAACCTGCAAATGGGTACTCCATCCTTCATCACATGCTAAGATAATTATCATATACTCAATCTGAGAAGAAATGCACTAAATTACCCATTCTCTGTCACATGGAATGTATCCTGCACACAACTTTTCTTGAAAAAATGTATTAACATAATAAAATATATACCTGTTGCAATTAATTCAACATATGCATCTCCCATATCAGCAAATAAACGAGCAATGGCTTTTATATCCTCCTCATCCTGAAAGTTGAAACAAATAAAAACGAATGAAAAAATTATTCCAAGAATATGACTTCAGTCTTAAATGTGATTTGTCAGTACAATACCCATACAAATTCTGTATAAGAGAGCAATCTATATCAGATAGATAATGGAGGAGAAACATGACAGAACACCTGAGCCTAGAACTTTTATATCCAGTTACAATTGAATCCCTATGCTTAAAAAGAAAAAATGTTGCATTCAGTAATAGAGAGATTGCAGCACTTCCATTTTGAGAGAAATTACAGAGGAGAAAAAGTCATGGAATGCAATTTAACTAACAGAAAACCTCATGAAAATATTTCAAACTACAGGTCAAATTATGTGGGACTTGACCAGACTTTGACAAAAAAATTGAAAAACACAAACAGTTGCATTAATTTCCCAATTCTAAAACATCCATATGATTTTAAGAGCATGAAAATGTAACATGTGTCGTCTATAAAATCGTTGTGGAATAGAAGAAGCTAACTGAGAGGCGTCACCCCCTGCCCAAATTATTGCAGACATCTGGTACGTTAGTTTGGTTAGCCCTCTTCATTCACAAAAGGCGGGATATTTCTTATACACTTCTACATCACCTAATAACCTAACAAACCACCTATGAAATAATTCCATCTCCATCCAACAAGTAAATAAACATTGTTTTACAGGGTTACTAATTCACTACAAAGAGAAACTTGTTCTCCCTAAACATTGCTAGGGGAAAAATGCCTCACCTTGTTTTACATTGTAAATAAACATTGTTTTACTGGGTTACTAATTCACTACAGGGTTACTAATTATATCTTCCATAATCATTGTTTTACAGGCCTAATAGATCTTCCATGAAAAAATGCCACACACCTTTAACACACACACTCACACAAGGGAAAAATGAACTAGCATTAGAAAAGGAGAGCGACTCTAATCAATAGGTGGATTAGGGATTTAGTGGATTGTTTCTCACATAAACAGCGGTTTGATAACTCCGTCACTAGATGATTAGGGATCTAGTGGATTGTCTCTCACGCCCACTTGGCTAAATAAACTTCCAATGAAAATATAAACACTTTTAGCATTGTGAACAAGTATTGTTGTATTTCATATTCTTGATAATAAAGTGCTATACAAGAAGCTATATTTATAGCTATATTTAGAGTTCTAGGGTTTTCTATACAAGATATACAAATGGGCTAAGCCCAATACTACTAGGGTTTTCACACTCCCCCTCAAGCTGGAGCATATAAATCATATGTACCAAGCTTGTTACAAATATATCCTACTCTAGGACCTCTGAGAGACTTAGTTAAAATATCTGCAAGTTGTTCAGTTGTGTTCACATATTTGGTGATGATATGTCCACTTGTGATCTTCTCTCGGATAAAATGACAATCAACTTCAATATGTTTCGTCCTCTCATGATATACCGGATTTGATGCAATGTGCATTGCAGCTTGATTATCACACATGAGTTGAACCGGTTTTGTGTTTCCATATTTTAACTCTTGGAGGAGATGCTTCAACCATAAGATTTCACATGTAGCAAGGGCCATTGCACGATATTCTGCTTCAGCACTAGATCTGGCAACCACATCCTGTTTCTTACTTTTCCATGAAATTAAGTTTCCACCAATCAAGATGCAATATCCCGATGTGGAACGTCTATCCATCGGACATCCGGCCCAATCTGCATCACAATATCCCAAAATATCGTGATGGCCTCGATCTTCGAACAACAATCCTTGCCCTGGACTTTTCTTGATGTATCTCAAAACTCGGATAGCTGCATCCCAGTGTCCAGTACATGGTTTATCAAGAAACTGACTAAGGACACTTACCGCAAATGAGATATCTGGTCTCGTGATGGTAAGATAATTCAATTTGCCGATCAATCTTCTAAATTTCTCCTTGTTGGGCAAAAGATCTCCCTGTTCTGATAAGAGTTTAACGTTCGGATCCATCGGTGTATCCACTGGCCTGCAATCTAGCAACCCTGTTTCCTCAAGAATATCCAAGGCATACTTTCTTTGTGAGAGAGCAATTCCATTTGCAGACTGTGCGACCTCAATGCCAAGGAAGTATCTCAACTTTCCCAAGTCTTTTGTTTGAAATTTGCTAAAGAGATGTTGCTTGAGGAGCACAATTCCTTGATCATCGCTACCTGTAATGACAATGTCATCAACATACACAACAAGATAAATACATTTGTTGTCAGCAGAATGTCTGTAGAATATAGAATGATCAACATCACTGCGAATCATGCCAAAGCTGCAAACAACGGCACTAAACCTCCCAAACCATGCACGTGGAGATTGCTTCAAGCCATACAATGAACGACGCAATCTGCACACCATACCAGACTCCCCCTGAGCAACAAACCCAGGTGGTTGCTCCATATAAACTTCCTCGTGTAGATCTCCGTGAAGGAATGCGTTTTTGATATCCAATTGGAACAATGGCCAATGGCTCATTGCTGCCATGGATAAAACCAAACGAACTGATGCAATCTTCGCCACAGGAGAAAAAGTGTCGGTGTAATCCAAACCATATATCTGAGTATACCCTTTTGCCACAAGACGTGCTTTAAAGCGATCAATCTCCCCATCAGGCCCAACTTTAACGGTGTAAATCCACCGACATCCCACCACTGATTTGTCAGCGGGAAGGGGAACTAAGTCCCATGTCCCACTAGAATGAAGGGCCTCCATCTCAGCCATCATAGCTTTACGCCACTCCGGGTGTGCCAGTGCCTCACGTGTGGTTTTAGGAATGCATATATGAGACAGGTGAGAAATAAAAGCATAGTACGGGGTAGAGAGGCGGTGATAACTCAAAAAGTTATATATGGGATGTGGGTTCAGTGTAGAACGTGTACCTTTTCGGAGAGCAATGGGCAAATCATCCAGAGTGTTTTCAGGTGGTGATGATGGTGCGGTAGGTGGTGATGATGATGCATGAACCGGCATGGGGGAATCAACTGGCGTGGCCATGATAGGCTCAATGGCTGGAGGTCGAGGACGACGATGATATACCTGTAATGGAGGAGGGTCTACGGCAGGAGGGTGGTGGGGGTGCTCGTCAGATGGAGAGGAAATAACCGTTTCTGTTTGGATGGGCCGAAGATATGAGATGAAGTCCAAACAGGATGGAGTATCAGCAGACGATAAGGGGTAATAAAAAGAGGACTCCATAAAAGTGACGTCAGCAGAAATAAAATGCTTCTTAAGTAATGGAGAATAACAACGATAACCCTTCTGGACTCGTGAATATCCAAGAAAAACGCATTTTACTGACCTAGCTGACATTTTGGATAATCCAGGTGTAAAATCATGGACGAAACACACACACCCAAACACATGAGGTGGTAATGGAAATAACTCACGACTAGGAAACAAGACAGAATAAGGAATTTCATTATTAATAACGGAGGAAGGCATTCTATTTATTAAATAACACGCAGTGAGTACCAATACTGAGGTGGTGTATGTGAATGTAATAACAAAGTACGGGCAGTATCAACTAAGTGTCTGTTCTTGCGTTCAGCTACCCCATTTTGTTGAGGCGTGTGTACACAAGAAGACTGGTGAAGCATACCTCGTGATGTCATGAATTGATTAAAGGGTGCCGCAAAAAATTCTTTAGCATTATCACTGCGTAAAACTTTGATAGAATGACCAAACTGAGTGTGTACTTCGGCACAAAAAGTCTGAAAAATATGGAATAATTCAGAACGTTCTTTCATTAAAAACAACCATGTGTAACGGGAAAAGTCGTCCACGAAAATAACAAAATAGCGAAATCCTAAAGTAGAAGTGACTCGATACGGACCCCATACATCTGTATGAACTAAATCAAAAGGGGACGCAGCCCGTTTATTAGCACGCCTTGGAAAGGATTTACGAGGTTGCTTTCCAAGGTGACATGACTCACACTCTAAAGACGAAAGGCTTGAGAAACCTGGAACCATACGGCGAAACTTTGAGAGGCTAGGATGACCCAAACGGTTATGTAATGTTAATGCAGGTTCAACAGAGACACAAGCGATTGGATCAACAGGATGAAGATGATACAAGCCTTGAGATTCATGCCCGACGCCAATCGTCTTCCCCGAACGACGGTCCTGCACAGTTACAGAATCAGCAAAAAAGGTTATAGAGCAATCAAGAGCACGCGTGATTTTACTAACAGAGACAAGGTTAAAGGGGCTATCAGGAACATATAAGACTGAATGTAGTGGTAAGGATGAAAGTGGTAGTGCTTGCCCAATACCCATGGCCGAAGTTTGATGGCCATTAGCCAAAGTAATTAAAGGAAGGTGTTGGTGCTTGGTAATATGGGATAAAAGATGGGGATTACCAGAAATATGGTCTGAAGCACCTGAGTCAATGATCCATGAGCTTGTGGTGTTTGAAACACAAGCGGTAGACGTACCAGGTGTAGATAAAGGCACATTAGCAGACTTAAATTTCTGATATGCAGCATATTCGTCAGGAGGTAGAACAACCGGAGATGGCGGAATCTGAGCAACAGTGGCTGAGCTAGAAGGTCTCCCGTGTAGCTTCCAACATCTATCTTTAGTATGACCAAGCTTATGACAGTAGTCACATTTAGGTCGGCTTCGACGCAGATATCCTTTGTTGTTTCCTCCGTCGGACCCCACACCTTGTGATGCAAGAATTGTAGAATCAGTAGAACCCAATTCAGCAGATATCGGGGCCGCACGAAGAATTCGAGAAAAGGCGTCTGTCATAGTTGGAACAGTAGAGCTAGAGAGAATTTGTTCACGTATAGATAATAGCTCTGGGCGAAGACCCGCCAAAGCTAAAACCATAACAAGTTGTTGTCGTTGTTCTAGTTGTTTCTCTCTATCTTCTGTGATAGGTTGAATGGTGTTATACTCAAAGAGTAAAGCCTCAGCCCGGCCTAGAAAATCCTGGATGTCCAATTCTTGTTGCTTGAGCGTGGCAATTTTGGAACCAAACGAAAACAGACTTTGAATATCATTAGTGTAATTAGACTTGGCTTTTTCCCAAATCTGTTTACACGTCCGATATGATTGATATGTAGGATGAAGTTTGGAGTCCATGGATTGCCACAAAACATTGCACAACAGTGCATCCATATTCTCCCATTCCGTTTTCTTATCCTTGACTGAATTGGCATCTATGAGCAAGTGATCAATTTGTCCTTGACCTTTGAACCACATCTCCACAGAAATGGCCCATGATTGATAATTAGCACTTCCAACCAAACGGTCCGTTGTAATAATAGGAACTGAAGCAAATGAAGAAAAACCAGAAGACATTTTTTTTTTTTTTTTTTTTTTTTTTTTAAGTAAAAGAGTAAATATGAGTAATAATATTACTGCTGCAAGGAAATACTATCGCAAAGAGAGAGCAGCAGTAGCAAACCAGAGAAGCAACCAGAGTAGCAGCGACCAACCAGAGCACCGGCGAGCCACCGGCGACGACCAATCTGGGCAGCGTGCGAGTTCGGCGGCGGCGCGCGAGTTCGGCAGCGGCGCGCGAGTTCGGCGGCGGCGCGTGGACTCGATGACGGCGCGTGGGATCGGCGGCGGCGGCGTAAATTACGTTGTGCAGGTCGCCGGAACCTCAGGAACTGCTGGTGGTAGGAGGTGTCAACACCAGATAAGCAGAATGATACAGATCTGCAAACAGATGTGAAACTGTAGGTGTGGACTTGAGCGACGTGTGGCGGCGCGTGGGTGATGCGGCGCAGGTGCTTCCTCCGGCGGTAAGTCGCGATGAAGCCTTGAGCACAGCGGTAGGCTGATATCACTACCAGAAGCACTCAATTGAAAGTCGCGCTACTGTTCACGCCGGAATACTGGCCGGAAATGATGCCGCCAGAAAAATCATAACACTACACTAACAATTGCCATAGTGGCTCTGATACCATGTGAACAAGTATTGTTGTATTTCATATTCTTGATAATAAAGTGCTATACAAGAAGCTATATTTATAGCTATATTTAGAGTTCTAGGGTTTTCTATACAAGATATACAAATGGGCTAAGCCCAATACTACTAGGGTTTTCACAAGCATGAAATAGTTCAACTGGCAATGGAAGGAAAAAAAGACCATTGAACCAGTAATCTTTGATGAGCGTGGTTGGGATTATGGCAGACTCAGCCTCGAAAAGCATAAGGAAGAAGAGCCATGTCCTTGGCAGTAACCCTGAAGGCTTGACGTCATTAAAATCTATGTAATTAAGCTTGGAATTGTAACTATCATATTTACTGTGATAGTTGAACTCAATTTTTTACTGCTATATCTTGGTGAGAAAGTAGTGCTAACCTCTTTCAGTATTGCTACAAGGATTATTGACTAAAACAGAATATAAATATGAAACTTCTTTTAATATAAATATGAAACTATTACTCAACTATTTATGAAAAAATATGAAACTGATACTAATATTAGTATATTACTAATGAGTAATACTTGAGGAACATTGGAAAACCACAAGCCAACATCATAAGTCGACATCAATACCTTCGAAGAATCTCTCAGCTGAGGTTTCAGACTCATAACTTGAGGAACAATCACTTGAATCAAAGGCATCTGAGGGGAACCTCCGTCTAAATTTCTTGCAGATGTATAGTGTATTAATTCAGAAACCACTGCAAAATGATAAAACAAACATTAATGCATATAAAGTTGAATGAATTAGTTGAGGAAAATTTAAATTCAGCTAAAATTGAGAAAAACGATCCTTAAACAAACTAGAGAGATAGAGAACACACATAATGTTTGTGCTGAGAAATTAAAAAAATAAACTGCATTCGATGTCAACGCCAATAAATGTGAGTGGCACACATGTGGAAACACATGTTAAATGATAAATGCCCCCTAAAACTCAAGAGTGTAAACACATGCATAATGTGTATGATATCCAACACATGGTCCTCAAAGTGATCTGATTAAGGCATTTGTTAGCGGATTAGTAGACGCGCTAAAACTGAAATTATCTCTCGGAGCAATTTATTCTCATCTGTAATGAAAAATCAAATTTGATACACTTATTTTTAAATAATTAATAAACTGGACTGGATGAAATGTCGAATGCAGCTTTTGATTATTACAATAACTTCATAAAGCCAAGCTTGCAAATCTAAATTTCTATAGAGGGATTATTCTACCAAATGATTCACACGATCCAACTCCACTGCTTAGGTATGCATGAAGGTGCATTTGTTGGCATGTATCATTACATCCTTCTGAGACATTGAGGCTATCCTCAAGGTTAAAAGCTAATAGTATTTTTTGGTATGCAGCCAACACTTCCTATTTTTTGGTAAACTAAAATGCAGACAACTGAAAACTAATGTTAATCATCCAATGAACTACTAATACTTCAAGCTATGGAATTACAATTCAAATCAAAGTTAATCCACAGCTGTACTTTAAATGAAATAGAAATTATTGTACTAGACTTGCATGCATGTGCACTGTGTTGCACAAATGCAAAGATTAATGGATTCGTGAGGGTTATTAGTTATGACTTATGAGTAAGAGGTCAGCAGTAATCGCTTAAGTTGTATGAACCACTTCATATCCAGCTTCTACGATGGTATATGAACCTCATATCTTAAGACTACTTTGAGCCATATTGGTCATAAATGGTTCCCAATATAAGTTCCAGCCCCACTCATGTATATGTCATCTTGCTTATTGTAGGAACCAAATATAAACACGCTTGTCTCTACTTTGATTTCCTCCAGTGTTTGTTATAAAAGGATTGGCATAATCACATCAACCTGCTATGGGTGAGTGCAGAGTAAAAGCTCAATCTCAACTCAGAATGACAAATTGCTCTGTGAGTTTGTAAAGAAGGTTGTCGGCAGCTTATGAAAAAAACATCACTAAAGCGCCATAAGCTAATCCAGAAAGTTTTGCAGGAATATGTCATGTGGTATCAGGGAAAGGCATGCCGATGCATGGGAATAAGAGTACATGAGAGCATATTTATGGGTTCCAGCAGCAAGAAAAGTGTATATTAGCAGTTGGCTAACCTTTGCTTGCTGAGATAAATTGGGGGAATTGGCTCATAATGGACATTATGAAAACAGAAACCAAGGATAGACCAACCCATTAGAATGTGAAGATCCAAGTGGAAAAACAAATGCTAACTACCCTCTTAAATCTTAAGAGTTAAAAGGAAAGTATTATGTATAATGTTGAACATTGAATACTTTACGATCAGTCACGTCACAGAACATAATGTTTGGAACGCCAGATTTAAATCCCTGGGATTGTATTTTACAGCACACTATATTTGGGATACTTAGTTTTACAAGCCAGGGATAGTCAGGGGCATAGCTAGGCGGGCATCCTAGGCCCTGGCCCACCCCAAATTTCAATTTTATTTGTATTAATTCGTGTAAAAAAATCCAAAAATCTTTATACCGGCCCAGCCCAATTTACCGCTCTTGCTACGACACTGGGGATAGTATTTCTCAGCTTGTGTTAGACTTTTACTGTTTTAGGGTATAATATCTAGTTTGAAAGGCCTCTATCAGTGTGGCATTACAGTATTGCATTCCGTAAATCAAGTTAGGCACCTGGTTTCACAACCCTAGAATTGCACTTTACAGTTTATTTTAACCTTTTCTTACTGTTAACGTATCTTATCTACTTTTTGTAACCTAAATAAGTGTGGCATTGTATTTTATGTTAGTAAAGCAGGTTTCATTAGCAATGAATTTCTCAATATTCAACATTTATGAAATTATATTCGGAAGCTATATGTTAAAAACTACAACACTGTGTTTGAAATGTAGAGGTGGCAATGCATCTGCATTGAAATGTAATCAACTCAGAGACACTATCTCAAGATTAGCATTTGCTAGAACTTCAGATTTGATCATCATCATCATTACCTCAGTGCCATAAAGGCTCCCACCTATGGTGGGGTAAGGAGGGGTCGGATGTATGCAGTCTTACCCCTGTAAAGTACAAAAAGACTGTTTCCGGATGACCGACCCATAGTGAAAATCACGTCGAAAATTGCATGGACTGACTGTTGCTTCATAATAAAGAAGTGTGAGCCATTTTGCTTTATTCCATCATATTCCCAAGCCAAAAAAATAGTGAATCTTTGGCTCTATTGCAAATGATGGAAAGAACTTCAGATTTGATATTCAATAAAAAACAACTCAGAGGGACTATCTCAAGATTACCATTTACCAAAACTTCAGATTTGATATTCAATAAAAAAAAAACAAGAAAAGAATTACGTAGCAAATTATGCAGCCAAGTTCAGTGGCCCACAATAGTGTTCAGGAGGGGGCTTGTGAAAATATAAACAGCCTCAGAGTATCATGTTTAGCCCTTAACCAGAAACATATATTACTCAGATACCATAAATATTGACAGGATCGTCAAAGTTTCCTGCAATGTTCAAGGAAAAACAGAAAACCACCTCAAGCTATTGATATTACCATTTACAGATGCCTCTGACAGCATATCCGAATGCAAGCTTGTGAGAGCCGCAAGAACTAAAGGGTGTGAAGCCAGAGTAGCTGCAGGAATTCTGAAACCAATGAAAAGTTCGACCAGTTAATAAAACAAGCTTGAATGCAATACCCCCTTGTCTCCAATTACACCACCCTACACCCCAAACAAGCACGGAAAAAATTAAGCCAATAAAACAAGCTTGAATGCAATACCCACTGGCTCCAAGTACACCAGCCTACACCTCAAACAAACAGGAAAAATAATTAACTCGCTGTTTTTAACTTCATGGTATTCTAGAACAGCTCCAAATATCCAATACAAAGTTTAGCAACGCAAAAAAAAAATGGCAATCATTTCAAGCAACAAACTCTCAAACATGCAACCCTTTATGAGCCAAACACTTGAACCCAAAGTCACAAATTCAAAATAGTTTTTATTGACAGAAAAAACAGCTAGTAAAACAGCTAGTAAATAAACTCAGCCTACAAATCTCTGAAGTTCAAAATTCTTAATCTATTTCCAATAGCAAAATTTACTAGCACCACACAGTAGTAGGCTAAGCCACTAAGGGGCTATCTTAGAGAGACTATCTTTAAAACCGGAAAGTGATTCTTTTTTTAGTATTTGCGACTAATCCACTCAATTTGGTACTGCTACTACGAGATATAGAGAGAAGAAATAATACCTATGTCTTAGACGCAGCCAAGAGGCAAATGCCTCAAGGACCTGTAGAGAAATTAAAAACCAAGAATGAAAAAGGATTTCAATATAATTATAAAACTTATATACTACCAGAATTTTGAATTGCAAGAAAGGTGCAAAGCAAGGAATAAAAAGTTATAATAATCATGAACTACAATGCAGATAATGTCATTGCATTTACAGTTTTACATCATCAAGGCCTCACTTTATTAAGGGTTGATGGGAACCAGTTTTGGAAACAGAAAAATAGCGTAGATTGATACGAAGTACTGAAACGGAAAATACAATTGAGACTCTTCGAGAGGTCTCACTCTCCCAATTCCCGATCCCAATTTTCTGCCTGCCTTTTCTCCTTTACTCCCTCCCATTCTTATACTAAATCAAAAAGGGCCAGCCCAACTCATGACTTACCTGGCTCAGGACCCTTATTTTTATACTATCACAATTATTTACTAGAATTCTATTATTATACTAATATGCCTCGTTCCTATCAAGGGTAAATCAGATGAAGTCATCAAACTCTAGAGGACACGAAATGGAAAAAATGTTATGATAACAGGTGCATTGTCCAATGTTTTGAAGAACATGTTGCTAAAAATAGTAAACATCAATAAAATTTAAATGACACATTTCACTTCATACTAGTAAGCGTGAGAAGATGGCAAGCATCATGCATTAGTGCTGCTGGGTTTCTTTTGAAATAGTTCAACTATAAAAACCAATCAGCTAGAAAGAATAGAATACCAAAAAGAGGATCATGAGATGATTGACTATATTCATCATTAACACCAGCAAGCATAAATCCCATACTCATTACATCTCCTATTTTATCTATTATACAAAAAAACAAATAACCCATTTTTAACTATTACCTCTGTTCTCCTTTAATTGTCACTTTAGGGGGTATATTGTCACTGAACAACTATAGCTTTAGCATACTAGGAGAGATTTCATTGATCATTTTGCAATATTACTTTTCACCGTCTACAAGTGTTATGCAGCACTTCAAAACAATACTTAATATGGGTTACTTTAGTCATCTTATACTACTTTACCTAGACTTTAGAAAGGTTTATTGCTTTCTGAGTACGTTCGTGAACAGCTAAAACAACACTTAAAAAAGAATGGATGTGGTAGTCACTATTTCATAAGGCTAATAATCCAAAAGGCTTTTTCCTCCATAAAGAGAACAGTAATTATGGGGAAGATAAGCAAAGAATACCTGCTCTTTGAGTTCACTGATATTCAAGCATGCAGACAAGATAGACAGGGCCGTATCTATTGCAGATGCAAGTTCCTTTTCAAACTGGCGACGTCTATCAGGACGAGCAGCTATCTTGTAGTTGAATACTTCCTAATCATTAAGACAGCCATCAGAGCCAAATTTGAAAATAAAACTAGTTGTCAAGGCAGGAAATGAAATGGTTATCTCACATAAAGTTTACCTGCTGGTAAATGGATCTCAAATTAACCTGGCTTGAAAGCTATTACCTAAACAAAGCATTTGATTACTGAGCACAGTCGTAAATGGCGCAAATGGCAATCGCCATTTGTCGCCACATTAGCATTTTAGAGTCCTTCGCCACAGCACCAGTCCATGGCAATCGGAATACATGAGGCGACATTTCAGCGCCATCGACTGTGCCAGTTTAGATATTGTTTTTTAATAAATAGGAACGCATTAATTAGGGCTCAGGTCAACTAGGAATTAAGCTACAATATAGATTTAAAAAAACATCCTAAATGTCTAACATCTAACCAAGCCTTAGTATAGGGAACCAACACACCAGCAGAGGCTGTGTATCGACAGAGAAAAGCCAAAAGTACCTAATCTTTTACTCCCTCTGTCTCATTTTATGTGGTTCGAAAAGTGGTTGAAAAGTAAAAGTTGTGGTTTGAGTAAAGTAAAATGATATGAACCACGTATTTCTTGCCAAAAAAACAAGACATTTATTTCAGGAAAAAGTAAGGCACGTAATTCGGGACCAAGGCAGTGTATGTTTATTGTTTTCAGTTATTTTCGTGTAGAACTGCACATGCATATTCTTGTTTCTACCATGCTGTCAAGACTAATATCGTTATATTATGATAGCTACTATATTATACTCCGTAATTATATTAAATGTTTCAATATTAATATAACTAGAATAGTATATATGTTAGTTTAAATAACATATATGTTAGTTTAAAAAACAGTTTAAATATTTTAGTTTTATGCATTACAGATTTACAGTATGTTTGTTTTAATGTGTTATGTTAGTTTTGTGCTAGTTTTATGTATTACAGAATGTTAGTTCTGGGAACTAATAGAGTAATATTTTAGATTGCTAGTTTTTATATGGGAAAAATAATAAAAGTACCCCAAACTTTGAAGGGGTGTGAGGTAAACACCCCAAACTTGCATATGTAATTTAAATACCCCAAACTTTATATAAAAATTTATTTTCGCATCATTGTCATGTATTATTTATTTTAAAAATGTAAGGTAATGGGGTTAATTGCAGAATTTAAAATAACAAGTTACTCCCTCCGTCCCAATTTGTTTTGCAAAGTCAACATTTTTTGGTCAACTAATAATGAAAGTCAATCCTCCCTTAGGATAATTAATTCAATTTTTAATAATTAAAACTTATATATTCATAAACTACATTAAAATCTCTTCAAAATTGTAAACTCGAAATAAGACCAAGAAAAGTCAAATTTGCAAATCAATTTGGGATGGAGGTAGTAAAAGTTTTGCAATTATATAGTAGAGGTAAGATTATTTATTTCGCAATGGAAGTTTATAATGTTAATTGTGTCTTCATGAATTGTAAAATATTTTAAATTAGGCTATTAACACCATAAATTTACATTTTTGAAAGAAATAATACTTGAATATGGTGCTAAAATAATTTTTATATAAAGTTTGGGGTATTTAAATTACATATGCAAGTTTGGGGTGTTCATCTCACACCCCTTCAAAGTTCGGGGTATTTTAATTATTTCCCCCTTTTTATATTAGTTAGTTTATGTTTAGATTCCAGTATTAGCTTGAACTATACATTGTCTACAGGTCAATTTATACTTGTTGTGTTTTTGTGTATTGTGGCGAGTGGCGACACATTATATTCGCCATCGCTATTGCCACACTAAACTGCCTTGGCCGCATGGTGGTCGCCCCATGACAACTATGCTATTGAGGCAACATGGATCAAATATGTGCACAAAATGCAGGAATTCATATACAATAAGAAGCACAATAATATCAACAAGCAAATAATGTTTTCAGCAAGAGATTATCTTCAAAAGATCAAATACCTCGGGCAATACTTTGACAAGCTCAAGAAAACTTGGTATAAACTCAGGGTGAGAATTCATCCCATTTCTCAGCCAATTTATTATGCCACCATCTCCCCAATCTTCAACAGAAACGTGAACAGCCAATGCAGCTACAGCAAGGCTGATCTATATTATCAAGAAACTTTAGTATCGAAACACAAAGGTAAAAATTAAAATCAGAAGTATTCCTGAAGAATCTAAGTGTTACCTGAGTTCTAACTTTTGGAGGACCTTTATGAAATGTTTTTAACAATGTCTGCATCCCAAAATTAAAAAAAAAATGAAAGAGCCAATCATAAAATGTTAGTCATCAGCTATATCCATTATGTCTTTAGTACAAGTTGCAAAAAAAACATAGTAATGAATCTAATAATAGGAACTAAGATTTTCTCACTCATGAAATTATCTGGAAACAACTCTTTTCTCTAATCATTTCAGATCTTCTGATGTGTTCTATGTTTTATCACCACAAAGGCCCAAACACCACAACAACTAATTTCGGAAACCATGGAATATAAGAATTAAAAGGGTAGCAAAGATAGACACTGAGATTTTCTCACTCGTGTAATTATCTGCAAACAACTCTTTTCTCTAATCAATTTAGATATTCTGATGTGTACTATGTTTTATCACCGCAAAGGCCCGAATATCACAACGCCTAATTTTGGCAACTATGGAATATAAGAATTGGGGGGGGGGGTTGTCGTTTAGAGTTAATAGTATTAAAAAGGTCCTCGTACTATCACGAAAAAGTCAAGTAGGTCCTTGTACTTTTTAAAAAATCAATCAAATCCCCGAACTTTGTAAAAAAAATGTTCAATTGAGTCCATTTGCAGGTCTTGCCATGTCAGCAGGTGATTTGCTGATGTGGCACACATGTGGCGGCCCAATCAGCAATGAGTTTGCTGACGTGGCGCACATGTGGAACTCCAGTCAGACATTTGCTTATGGCGTGGTGCACACATAAACCGCCATGTGCGCGCCACATCAGCGGGTGGTCTGCTGACATGGCAAGTAACTTGTAAATGGACTCAATTGAACGTTTTTACAAAGTTCGGGTATTTGATTGATTTTTTAAAAGTACGAGGGCCTAATTGACTTTTTCGTGTAGTACGAGGACCAAATTGACAGTTTTCCCTTAAAAAATGATTGAGCTTGTTTATTCCTTATTTCAGAAAAGAAAAAAAAATTGTTTAAGAGTTCACAATTTCTTTACAAGCATTTAGGCTTTACACAAACTGGTGACAAAAATACTATACACACGTTATTGCAGTTTCAACATAAGTACTTTTTTACAGTATAAACAACTTTTAGTATGTGATATCAAATGGTGAACATTGGCCTATCAAATGCTGCAACGTTTCTACCCTATAGAGAGGTGATAGTGAAATTTTTCAAAATGCCAACACATAATGGAACACTCACATTTAAAGAATCACGAAGTGGACGAAAAGCTTCAGATGGCAGTTCTTCAAAATCCCGTTGAACCTGAATAACATAAGTTTACCAAAAATAAGTTTCCAGAACGAAAGGCATAGGTAAACTCATTTCGGAATATACTGGATTTGATTTTGAAATACAAAACTAGTAAAAAGATCACCTTGCTTCTGAGAGTTTGTGAACAGAAAATTAAGGTCTCTTGATTACTAGAAGCATCATGAAGCAGATTATCAGCCACCTAACAAAAAAACATCAACAGTAAGTGTGACTGATCTCAACAGCAAGTTGCTGCTAAGTCCACTAACAGCTATATTTTTCTCCTCAAGTAATGCTTCTTTATCTTTAATTTGAAAACATGTTTATTTATTGAAAGAAAAATTAGTGTTAGGTCTTTACTAAAGTTTTGTTCCCATATAGGACTGTAATGAGCCAGGCTGTTAAAATTGGTATTTGAGTCGCAAAACCATACAATTTTACAACTCTAAACTAATAAACTGATATGAATGAACGCAGAACCATATATCAATTAAAATGTGAAATTCGTTAAAGGACCATAAAGAATTGCATGGAATCACACAAAATAAAGAATCGTGACAGAAACATGGTAATGAACTTTTAATTGAAGAAGATCGGAAAAACATTGAAGATGAGTATCTATGAGTCTTTGTTTCAATGTATTATTTTTGTGTTTAGAATATCTTAGATGCTTAGTGTTGAGCTTTACCCTATTCAAATAGATTGTAAACGTTGTTTGTGATGTTACATGTATAGTTTTAAGCTATGAGTTGAGTTAGCATTGTTAAATGTTAATTTGTTATCTTGTGGTGCTTTTCATTTTTCGGTTTTGGCGAGTTTTAATACTACCTCCGTCCCGTTGGAATGTTCCCGTTCGATTTACGATGCTTGACTGAAGATAAAGCAACTCGATCCCTGTTCACACTCCGCTTATTTTTAGTAAATAAAATTTATATATTTAGAAACTACATTAAAACCGCTACAAAGCCTGATCAAGAAAAGTTCAATTTGATAAAAAATTGATATATAAAGTAAAAGATTAGGAGTGACCTAAGTTGACCAATGAATAGTGAACGAGAACATTCCAACGGGACGGAGGGAGTATAACTTTTATAAAAACTTACTGTTTACAATTCAATTTTCAAAACCTACTACTGTTGGGTGGTGGAGATCTAATCCACTCAAATGGTGAAGGAAAGATGTTTGGTTGCTTGGAGGCCGAAGACAGTCCAGTTGCTTGGGGCCGAAGCTAGATTGCCTGGGACCAAAGAAAGCCCATTCTCTAGAATCTTCTTCCTATCTCTATAAATAGATCATTACTTCATTAGTGAACTCTAAATAAATATCACCAGAAATTGTAAAGCATTCTCTCAGTAATAAAACCTCTCTAGTTCGAACAGTGGACTAGCCGGTTAGTCTGACCGGTGAACCACTTTATAATATTGTGTTCTTTAGTTCTCGCATCTTACAATCATGTGTGTGAGTGTGTTTAATCCTAACAACTACCAGTTCAATTTTTTATTATTCGTCTGTAACGTCCTTCTCATCCATTTGAAGAATATTTAACATTAACTCTAAAAGAAAAGCATTGGATCCCAAAAGGAAGATCAACAACGTATGCAAATATGGCAAGGCAATCATATACCACTAGGACAATCAAAAGTATTATGTGTTCGTGTACGTGTCTATGCATACACACATGTTGTTTGTTTTTCCAAAATGTTGTGACTGATTGAAGGGGCAATGATTCCACCCCCTTATCTGCCTCCTAGAAAGTAAGATTCAGTGCTCACTCAAGCACCTCAATATGAACTTTGGTGCTCAGTCGAGCATCCCTGATGGGCCTGGACACATACTTCTCCACCTAGTTGTTTTGGTCTATGTTTCACACCAATCTACATTTATTTTCCACGCCAGCATGAGAGAGCTAAAGTACTTGCATAAATAACATTAGCAGCAGTAGGAATAAAGATGGATGTAAAAATGTAAAATTACTGGGGATTAAACTATTAAGACTTCGAGATAAAGACAAAGTTAAATCTTCAGTGTGAATTTGAGCCATATTTGGTGTACAATGTCTCCCATAGTTGGTCCAACAATACTACATTGCATGCCCAATTTATGAAAAAAGTGACAACTTAACTTAGGCAAGTTGTTATATAGACTCAAATGTTGTTATAGATGGCTATTGTATGAATTGATGAGCCTAGAGAAGTGAAATTTTGAAGCCAAGTGCAAAATATGGAGGTCAACATCGTGATTGGTTTCGGCATGTCACAATCTAGTTTCTTGCAATTTGACAGGAAATTGTCAGGAAAGGTAGATGTGTAAGCATGTGCTTTTATCCAATTGGGTGACGGCTGTCGAGGACCATCTACGAGTAAATGCTCTCAATTACCAATTGAATTGAGGCCAACTAGAATGTCCTTGGACATTTTTTTCTTGAATGGAGTGGATGTGATTCTAGGAGTGCCTTTGCTTGCAACTTTGGGGATGTTTGTTTAAACCAGGCCAAGATGAAATTGGAATTTAAGGTGGAAATAGGATTCTAAAATTTAAGGGTGATTTATCTATGTCTCCCACGGTGTCAGTACTTAGTAGTTGCACAACGCAATTACACCTCAAATCAGGCCTTGAGGTTTCTTCTTCAAATATATATATGCCTATTGGCCAGCATACGCAGTGAGGCGTGATGCAATAAACTTATAGTGTTTGATTGAACTATTTGGATAAGACTCAACTTCTAATCCAAAATTTATGTTGAAACCTCTATTTCAATGTTACAAAAGGTTGAGTCATAGCATGTAGACCATCTCTTAAAACCAGTACTCAGAGTTCAGATAACAGAGGACCGACTCAACTGCTTCTTCTGATTTTCATCCACAATTAAAAATGTCATCAGCTCATCATTCATCGTGATAAATTTTCTAGCTGCTGTGACACTGACAGCACAATGAAAAAACAGAGGAAATTGGAGATAAGAGTGGCTCGGATCCCTAATAAATTATTAATGGCGATAAACCATATACACCCAAGGCAACGTGCGCCAAACCCATGGAAGAAAACAAAGATCAATGGTTAATGCAAGATTATACGCACTCAAGGCAATTTACCTCACACCCAACAAAAACCCTTGGGTGAGTGGATGAATGCAAATTTATTCATGAATAATTTCATTTTCGATACCAGTTTTTCATACAAACTTTGGAGTTTGTTGAGACAAGTATTAGAACCCACTGGAATTTGAAATTATTTTAAACAATTTAAGACTGTTTACACTTTTCGAGTACTCCGGAACATGAAAGAACAACAAAAGAAAGCCACCATATCAATCAAAAGGTGCAACCATGTGCATAAATAGCCATTTGTTTACACCTCATGTAATCTTACAGGCAGCATCAAGCCATCAATCTATTATCCAACCCCAAAGCACAATGAAACTGGCATGCTAGGCAGTACCTCCCCCCAATTAAGTACAAAAACTTAAAATTCAATTGCAGACTGCCTTTGGGAAAACCCACTACGGCAATTTAACCTACAACTAACCTGAAAATTTTGAGGTCGGCTTGATTGAACAAAAAAAATAGTATCCAAATTCTATGGTGCCAAAACTTCTATTTATTAGACCTAAATTCACAGCTACCAGCGTGTAAGCATACTGAGCAATAAATTTTCAATTTTCTAATTCTAAGCTAATTATGTACTCAGATAAATTTAAAAAAAAAAAAAATTGAACATTGGAAAGATGACTTTACAACAAAGTTTACTAAGGGTAGTCCGGAAGGAGATATATTGATCGTTTAATAAAAGTTTCTGTGTCCAACCTGCCATGCGTCGATGGTGCGTTGAAAGTCTTGAAGCCATCGATCGGCTTGCATCCGAACGGAGTCATCAGGGTGATGGTATAGTGCATTTAGGGCTTCTTTCACAGTGTTCTGTAGCTCCATCTCGAATCGCCTCCCCTCCAGTGCCAAAGCCTCCTACTTCAAACATACAAACAAATACGCAAATATGTGCACTTGATCTCAGTATATTTGTCTGCAGTTGCTGTTTTGTTGTTTGTACCGAATTTTCAAAGGTGGACGCACTGAGGTATATAGAAAAGGGTAGTCTGTGTTTGGATTTTTGGAGGGTTTTGGCGCTTCCGTTGAGGGTTACGATCTGATCTAGTTCCGGATCAGCCAGAAAGAGGCCCCAGGAGGTTTTGAAAAAATATGTAGTAGAATTTTAAGGATGTTTTTATTTGGATAGTAACTTGTTAGTTTGATCTTTGATCTGATCTGGGTTTTTTCAATCTGGTCTAGTCTGAACTGGTTTAATCTAGTAAATGTCCGAATCCTTTGTATTTTATAACTACTAAAGTCTAGTCTGATCTGATCCCGTCAATTTGAGTTTGGTCTGATCTGATCTAGTATGTTTAAATCTGGTCAGGTCTGTTTAAGTCTAGTCTGGTCTGGGACTGAAAACATTCCAAATAAAAATATCGTAAGTTCCTTTTGTTGGAAGCTTTGGATTGATTTTAATTCATCAAGATTTTAAAATAATACAACAAGCTATGTAATATAACCATTAAAATAAATGTGCTATTACAAACAAGATAAGATTTTAATAATGAGAGAGTAAAATAGATATAAGTTCATGGTAAATAAAATGGCTGAAATAAAACACTGTAATAATTTGATTGCATAAAGTGTAGACTATGCCCACCAAATTTCATATTAAAATTCAATCGGGATGCCGGTTAAATCAATTATTGAAAAAATTGCATTTTATATATATATAAACCTACGCAATTTTGAAAAAATTATTTAACCGACATTCCGATTGAATTTTAATCTGAAATTTGGTGGACATAGTCTACACTTCATGGAATACATGATCACAAAATTTCATCAAAAAATTTGACCCGTAATCACCTCAAACGAAAGAGGCCTAAGAATTGAGGCTAAAGGGTCAAATAGGTACATGAACTAACTTAAAGTGTTCAATTAGCCCCTTATATAGGAGGTTATGCTCGGCCGTCGCCTATTGGGGCGGTTCCCGGTGGAATTTTTTGACGAAGTTTTTTGAGCATCTTCTTCATTAAGTCTAGTTTACCCATACCAAATTTCAGCTAAAAATTCAACCAGGAAGGAAGTCAAATGATTTTCCGAAATGTGTTGCGCTGTTTAACTGCGCAGTTATCTTCAAAAAAATCATTTGCCTGCCTTCCCGGTTGAATCTTTAGCTGAAATTTGGTATGAGTAAACTAGACTTAATGAAGAAGATGCTCAAAAGACTTCATCAAAAAATTCCACCGGGAACCGCCTCAATTGGCGACGGCTAGGCAGAACCTTCTATATAAGGGGCTAATTGAACATTTTAAGTTAGTTCATGTACCTATTTGACCCTTTAGCCCCTACCTTAATTACTTGAACATTGTCCTATATATATATATATATATATATATATATATATATATATATATATATGTTTATATATATATATATTATGAACATATCTTTATATAATATAAAGTAACAGTCGTTACACCACAACTGGAGGGAAAAATCCCGCCCAAAATATGGATAAAATAGGAAAGTAATGAAAAAAGTAAATTTGATGATTAAATAAGTTAGGTGTACATTAGTAAAGAAAGTTATAATGCTCCGTGCATTCAGCCGCCTATCCTTCCAAATAAAATCAGCCGCTTATTGTTTTCTTTTTTCCAAAAATGAAATTGTATTTCTTACCATACATATATACTACGTACAAAGCTGAAAAATTGGAACCTTAAAGGTAATTATTTTCATTCTAAAATTCAATTGAATTGATTATATTAATGCTTATTCAATTTTATATAAACTGGCGGGTAACTGAATATTTGACACCACCCAATTTTAGGTAATAAATAAATGCATTATACGTGTTAGAATATTAGTATTTAATAATTATATTTAAATATGGTGCACTGATCATGTTCTGAATGAAGTGCAAATCATGTCCACAAAATTCAGCTTAAGATTCAATAGGAAAGTCGAGTAAAAAAGTTATTGAACCATACTATGCCAACAATATATAAAAGTGCAGTATTTTTTTAACAATTGATGTAACTAACTTTTCGAATGAATATTAAGTTCCAATTTTGTAAATATAATCTACACTACATTAACAACATGCTCAAAAAAAAAATCATGAATAAATTCCACCGAAAATCTTTATCTTTGTATGATACTTCATATAAAGTACTCCGTAATAACGTTCACCCATTTTGGCTGCAATTTTAATAGAAATAATTACATATATGACTAAAATACATGTTGCATTATTTACAAAAATATGACCTTCTAAATGTGTATTTTTTTGTTAATATGATTTTTGTTAAACATACAGAACTTTTTAAAAGGCTAAACTATTAAACACACCAAAATAATTACTAATATCTATATACGGAGTATAATATAAAGAATTATGTATAATTAAGGGGGAAATTCCTAAATATGAGTAAAAAAGTTTAAAATTCTAAAATAGAGCTGCCATGTTTTTATCCCTAAATATGAGTAATTTCTGCCAGGTTTGACTTTATCATGATTTTAAAATGGTAGGTTCTGTCAAGTTTTTTCCAAACTTGACAGAAATTACTCCTATTTAGGTAACAAAAACATGAAGGCCCTATTTTAGAATTTCAAAATGTTTTTACTCCCATTCAGAAAAAATTTCTATATAATTAAACGATATTTTATCTTTACTTTTATTTTTATTCTGCCAAATTTGGTTTTATTGGGCTTTAAACATGAGTTTCTGCCAATTTTTTCTAAACTTGACAGAAATTATTTTTATTTAGGTAATAAAAACATGAAAGTCCTATTTTAGAATTTCAAAATGTTTTTACTCCTATTCAAGACAATGTTTTCTATTATTAAACAACATTTTTATCTTTTATTTTTATTTTTATATTTATATAATCCTTCTCCCGTTCTTAAATAAGTGCAACAGTCTACTTTTCATGTTTGTTGATGTAGAACTTTGACTATTACGGAGTAATATATACTACCTTCGTCCCACTAACCCTGGCACAAGAGGGGTGACGTGTTTAAGAAAAGTAAGTTTATGTGGTTGTGGTTGATATCCAATTGATCAAGTAAGAATAAAATAAAAAAGATTTAGAAACACACAAGCTTTACCAAATTTGGTACTTCGTATGAGACAATCTTAATGAAATTTTCCGAAAAGGTAAAATGAGACAATTTTCGCGAGACGTAGAGAGTAGTATTCTCTATTAGTAAAAAAACCTATTTTGATAATGTACAATAAGATCAAATTTAACATCATCGTTTACAAAATAATTTATGAAAATATTAATGTATAAAACATAGTCATAGTAGAACATGTGAGTAGTGTAAAATCAACATGTTGCACGCTTATTTAGTTATGAACCGAGGAAATATAAGGTAACAAAGTTTGGGCAACTATTGGGGGGAAAACCCACCCAAACTAATGTCATAATAGGGAATTAGTGTGAAACTAATGTAGAACACTAGAATATATATGCATCCTGCCCAAGAGTGTAGATCCAAAGTAATTTAGAATGAAGCATTTATTTCCATCTTATGCATGTATTGAGTTGTTGATTGATTAAATAATATTCAATACAGAATGTTTATGCTGGAACTTGGAAGTGGAAAGGAACGGAAATGAATTAATGTGAAATATTAGAATAATATATATATATATATATATATATATATATATATATGTGTGTGTGTGTGTGTGTGTGTGTGTGTGTGTGTGTGTGTGTGTGCACCCCCTCATGAAATGGTAATGGATTTAATCTCATATTAAAAGATATTTTCGACTGATTTTTATAGATTTTCCGTTATTTTAATGAAAGAGTATTTCATGCATATCATATATGGATACCTCACACGTTGAAAGAGAATTTCAATACATTTAGAATAAGAACTTAATTAATTATTAATTTATCATTTCACTCTTATTCAACGACTATCATTGGTGCCGTCAGATAGCATAATTCTTTGCAAATATCGACGCAAGCAATTCTCAATCGTTGTTTCATTTGACATGATCATAAACCAAAGACAAGGACAATCTCTGCATGAAGTGGAAATATATTTTGCGAGATATGTTTTTGTGTATAGTCAATTGTATGTTTTTGTGTATAGTAATTGAAGGGTCATCTCAATGAGTGAGATGAAGATTCTTATATGTGATGATGAGGATCGTACTATTTACACCATCAATAATATGATCTATAAAGAAGTTCATAAATTTTATGAACCTTTTTTTAACATCGTCCACATATATGATTGTTCTATTTACTATGTATATATAAAGTTTCATGACACTCACTAACAATTATACTACCAACACTACTAGAAAAATGCCTTACAGTGACACCAAATTAGTGTCACTGAAAGTTTCTGTGACACTAAAAAAGTGTCAATGAAAGTGGGAAATAGTGACACTTTTTAAGTGTCACTACAAGTGTCACAGAATTGTGACACTATGGTATCACTAGTTAGTGATACATATGTGACATAACTATTCGGTGACACTTTTACATCTCATATTTTAGTGACACCACGGTATCACATAATTATGTTTTCCATTCAAGCAACACCATACTTTAGTGACACTTTGGTATCACTTTGTTTTGCACTATTTCAGCATTCCATTTGATGGGTAATTTAGAAAAATCATTTCAATTATATTTAAAATTATGTCATTTCAATGTCAAAAGTCAAAAAATAGATTGAACATTTAAAGTAGAATATTCATTTCAATGTCAAAGTTACATTGTTCTTGAAGTTTGCATTCTAGGCTATGCAAAACCAGAAATACTTTGCTGAACGGAACATGACAAAAGATCCAGCAACATCCAACACTAAAGCGATCACTTCACCACTAAGAAAACATTGATTAATAGAATTCTAAACAACTACATAATTTAGTCCCAAAAAGTGAGCCGCCTACACGTCGTACATACATATAGCAAAGTTAATTGGCAATGCCAATAACAATTTGTACACATCGCCAATCTTCATAGCAGCAGCATTCATCAAGAAAGAACATGTGACCTGCAAAATGCATATTATAATTCAAGTCAGGAAACATCTATCTGGAATCATGAGAACAAACTTGTTTAAAGCGAAAAGCGTCCAAAACCGTTGACTTCGGGCTTTGCTTTAAAGCGAAAGCGCTAAGCGAAGCGTAG